GGGTGGGGGGAAGAGGCTTGTCAGTATCAGATGCCCAGGCAACGCACAGCTCCTCAGAGGCTGTTTGCCCGTAACTGGCATCATCCTCAGCACTCTCCATGGTGGCTAAGGCTGATGACCAGGGCAATCCAACCAGGCCTGGAAGCCCACAGATTGTCCACCCCAGGAGGAGAGGCAGTCAGCAACGACAGGTCCTGCCACCCCTTCCAGAGAGAGAGAGAGAGAGAGAGAAACAATCCCTTTTGCCCTGGTTAAAAACGTTTTAATTACCATGATCCTTTTAGGAGGAAGAGGCTGTAAGACAAGCACTTCGTATGCCTTAGCAGTCATAATAAAAAGAACAGGAAACCCAAGATCAGCCAAGATCACACCTGGAGGGCAGCTTTTTGGGGCCTGTTTTTTGCTTTCTTATACCCCCTTCCCTCATTTTAACATTACAAAACAAATTTCAAAAGCCAGCAAAACCATCTTCTGAGAGGTATTTTTTTGCCATAGTCTACACTGTCTGACGCAGAAAAGGTGTTTGTTTGCCACAGCCATGAGGTCTGAAAGCTCAGACCCCTGAAAATTGGTAAAAAGTCCACAAGGATACGAACCCTAAAGTTATTTGATTTTTAAGAACATGTCAATGACGTGAACCATGTCAGGATGTTTAAAGCATGCCTTATCACTTTCAGCCACTAGGGGGCAGACTCCCCTGCCCGGGAACTTAGGTAGGCTTGCGGTCAATACAGCTGAGGGACAACATGGTAAGATTGACCCTTTGACCTTTCCTACAGGCTGTCCTTTCTCAGTTACGGAATGGGTGGAAATTCTGCCCCTCCCTAATAAAATAACCTATACAGTGGTGCCTTGCACAGCGAGGGTTAATCCATTCCGGATTAACCCTCGCTGTGTGAAACATCGCTCAACGAAAAGTAAAAAGCCATTGGAACGCATTAAACAGCGTTTAATGTGTTCCAATTCGGCCGAATACTCACCATTGTGCGATGTTCCTGGATGGCCGGCAGCCATTTTCGCGCCCTCCCCTCGCTGAACGAGGGCGCGAAAACGCTGCGCGCGGCCATTTTGGGGCCCGCGGCAGCCATTTTGTTGCCGCAGAACAGCTGATGGGCGGGTCGCAAAGCGAAGGTCGGTAAGCGAACTGCTTACCGACCTTACCTCTGTGATTTTCCCCCTATCTAGGTGCCGTTTTGCGATCGCATTTGTGATCGCAAAAACATCATCGTTGCGCGGATTCGTCGCTCTACAGAGCGACCGTTGCGCGAGGCACCACTGTAATAGGGCATCAGGGGTTTACCTTTGCACCCAGTGGCCAGAATGTACCATTTAGTCTCTCTTAATGGTGAGACTGGGTTGTATTCCAGATGCATTTAGCAACCGATGGAGATGTTTCAAGGCCTTTGACCATGATGGTAGGATGATGGGAATTAGAGACCAAGATGAATCAGGGACTTGGGGGACCTGGGTTCAAATCCCCACATGGCTGTGGAAATCCATCGGAGTGGTGGGTGGGACTGGCAAAAACCACTGCTTAAGCGTTTATCCGGTGTACCTTGAAAGCTCTCTTAAGGTCCCCTTAAGTCCGATGTGGCTCGACCGCACAGAACGGCCACATGGGCCTGAGGTGGCAGCTCCTGGGTGCACAGGTGACCCCTTCGAAGCTGCTGAACTGTCGCCCGAAGGCCTTCAAACGGAGGAAGCAGCCGGTCTTCACTGGTGCACCCACCCCAGAGAGTCCAGAACCGAAGGGCTGTTGCTCATGGACTACAATTCCCATGCGCTAGCATTCTGGGAATTGAAGTCAGGAAAACATCCCACCTCCGGAGGAGTCATTTCATCCCCCCTTTTTTTATTGCTTACCTGCCTTCGGTTCAGGTTCTGACTGGCCTCCAGGAGAGCCGTTGTGGATGGAGACCGCGTTGTAGAACAACTGGAAAGAAGGATGGGAGAGAGTTCGGGAGGAGGAGAGGGCACCCGGGAAGGAGGCCTGCGGAAGAGTAAAATAAAAGGAAGAGGTCAGCGCACGTGGCAACGATCCTCCCAGCCCTCAAAACACGTGGGCCAGCGGAGACCTCGCGTCTTGGGCTGGTCCAACTTCCTCCAGAGGAGGCGGCTCAAGCGGGATGTCTCGTAACTCCATTTCTCTGGGAAAGGAAGGCCTCCCCAGGACCCCTTGGCCTTTGCACCCCCCCACTCCACCAGCGTGGCCCCAGTTCCCCGACCGAAGCCACGGCTTTGAAACCCACGTAACGTGGGGCGGGCAAGAGGGAAAGCAAGGGACAAGAGGCGAGAGATCAGCTGACCAGGGCCATGCCCGGAGCTGCTTCCCCCCCTCTGTGCTGGAGCCTAGCCAGGGGGAGTCCAAGCCGGCTGCCCCCCATCCCCCCCCCAAAGAGGCAGGCTGGCTTTCAGGTACGTGAAACCCTCCGCCATCCACCCGAGCTCGTTCGGAAACCATTGATGAAAGCAGGCCGCCTGCTAAAACTTTGGATACCTGTCCTGGAGGCCATCGCCCCTCCCAGGTGGCTTGGCGGTCCGGCTCCTCTGGGGGGCCCTCCAGGTGGCCCCACGGAAGGATCTCTGGCCCTTGGCAGCCTGTGGGTCCTAGGAAGAAAATCACGACCGAAATTATGGCCGAAGCCTGCAACCCCTCGAGCCGATCACACACACACAGCCCTGGAAAACACCTGCCGGGCAGAGCAGGCCCCCCTGTTCTGAAAGGAAAAGACCCCCCCCCCTTCCCGTAAGGCTCCGGCTCTCTTTGGCACAGACCCGGCTGGCTTAAACCCCAATCCTTCCCACCCCAAAGATTTTCCCCCAAGGATGGCAGAATCAAGGAAGACAGTCCGTCCTCTGAGCATACCTGGAAAGCCCCTCTTTCCAACAAAGGGCACAACTAGACTTTCCCCTTGTGGGTCTGGGGGGGATTCAGAGAACGTGGCTTCTAAAGCAGAGGCCTTTTCTTGGGGGGCAGGCTGGCCTTTCCCGCCTCCTTCCTCGGAGGAGATCAACCAGCCTCCCCCTCTCCCCCCCCATCACTGGGCTTCTCCCACAGACAACCCCCCCCAAAAAATCTCCACCTTTCTGTCTACCTGAGCAACGGGGATCCTGGCAGCCGTCCAGATGTGGGGCAAAAAGCCAGCGGCCGTGGGGGCAGCAGCAGCAGCAGCAGCAGCACTGGGGGCGCTGGGGGTCCCACTGGAGTGGGGGGCGACAGGCCAGATCCTGACACCTAGGGAGGGTTGGGGCAGCACATGTGAGAACCAGCGCCCGGCGCCCCATGGGACCCCTTGTGCTGAAAGCAGGGCCTCCTCCTGACCCCCAG